AATCCAGCTCATTGATTAAGACTCTTACATATAAATGCTTTCATGTATGCTACATCTGAGTGTCCACTAAAGCAAATGACAACCTTACTGGTGAAGCTGAGAGGGATTTGGATGGCCCAATGCACGTTTCTACTTTGGGGGAGCTGCTATCAATTTGCATCAGGGGAAATTTATTGTAGATCATCAAAATACATTTTTCACAAAGAGGACCCAGGGGAATCTGCATATCTGGAGATATTCAACATTCAATGGGGAGTAACACAGAGAAGCCTGCTCTCAGTGCTTCCGCTACTACTTTGGATGGGAGGTTGGGTGAGCTGCCAAGCTCCATCCAACCCACATTACTCTGAGGCTTTTGAGGTCCATTCAGCAACTCTCCATTAACTCTGACAGGATGTAAAAGCCATTTAAATTTCAGTGTCTTACTCAATAATCTGCATCCTACCCCTCATGTTTAGATCGTACAAAACTGATGGAATAAGGAGGATGGAGAAGCAACACAGCTTTTGCAGAGCAAAGTTGTGTCTCAAAAGTGTGTAGAAAGCTTTGAAGGAGCCAATGAGAAAGTTGATACAGATTTTGTGATTTTTTTTTTTTATAGTTGATTTTGTCTATTTGGCTTTCCTAAAAGTGCTTGGGAAAGGCTGTCTCAAGAAAGGTTTTTCTAGAAAACTGAGCTGCCGTGGGTCTAAGGAGAATCTCCTGTTGATTAATGTGTGGCTAAAGGACAAGAAACAGGTTGGGAAGAAACAGGCAGTTTTTACAGTGCTGGTGATTCCCCAGTAGAAAAGATGTGAAAAGGGAGGTGGTAGTGAGGTGAGAGTGTGTGGATGACACATATTATCTTCAGTCCTAAAAACAAAAGCAAGTGCCAAGTGTCATGGAGAGATCTTGTGATAATGTGAGTCTGTGTGAAGATGGCAGATGCAATTGCTGTTGATAAAACATAAAGCAGTGTGCATCACAAAAGACATCCCTAACAACAGAGACAATAATGACCGCAGGGTGAATTATTTCCAGGGAGACAAGGAAGCATGGTATTGCTATGAATGAAACTCTGAAGAAAAGAAAAAAGATAAAAACATTACCACATGATGGAGCACTACAATCTGGGCCTTGTTCCCACTCAATGCAATTGTAGAAGAAATACAAATCATTGAGTCATAGAATGTCTTGAGTTGGAAGGATCATCGAGTCCAAGCCTTGGCTCTGTGCAGCACCACCCAACATTCATACCCTGTGTCTGAGCTGAGGTGCTGCTCCTCATACGTCTTGCCCTCTAGAATTTTCACCACCTCTGCAGCCCTCCCTTGGACTCTAATAGTTTTATGTCTTTCTTATGTTGTGAATGGGAAAGACAAGGTGATGGGTGGCCAAGTAGATTGGGCATGGAGCAAGCTCTGTCAGAGGAGAAATGGGTCTTTGGTATAGAAATGGAAAAATGTTTATTTTTGTCCAGTGACAACAACGGATTGTTATGATGACTCTACGCAAAAACTACACAAAGGTGAGTTGAAACTGACTTCTAACTTCTGCTGTAAATGATGGAGTGCCACATTCCTGTATTTTTGAGTACTGTGGCCAAAACTGCTGAAGGGGAAAGACATCTGTCATATACCCTAAAATTTAGCTTAAATCTTTATCTCCCAGGATGGAGCTCCATGTAGAACCTCTTTTCTGTACTGCTGATTTACACATGTGGGTGTAGCTGGAGCATTCTCAAGGCAGAAGTTAATTTTTGGTTTAACTGCACTGCAACAAGAATTTCCCTAGGGATTCAGTTGTCTGAAGCACACAATGTACTCGTCCTATCACTAAACCAAGAATAAACACATTCTACTCTTTACCCCTCCCTATGGATGGTAGCTCTTTATATTTGTTCAGCATGCAAAATGGAAATACCAGTCCCATCAGCCCTGAAATTTTACAGCTAGTTCTAAAAATGAACCCCCCAAGGCTTTTCAGGCAAACCGAGAAGACTTTGTTTTTCATCCTGCTATTGCAGAAGCAAGTCTCTCCCTTTTGCCGTATCAGGACAGCAGAGAGGGCAGTTCTTTCCTCCTCACAAAGGCTGCTGAGGCAGCTGGTGGGACGATGGGCTGGCATCAGGAGCAAGGGCATGCCACGGCTTCTGTGTCTTGCTGCTGGGATTCCCACTTACTAGTGCTAGCTCAAACTCAAACCCAGTTCTTTCCTGAGCCCACCAGACATAATACCCTGTCTGAGTTAGAGCTAGAAATGCGTAAACAAGAACATAAGCAACAAAGCAATGCCCTCTGAATGCAGCTGAGACACCAGCCCACAGTCCGAGAGCGCAGTGGAGAGCAAGAATACCTGTATCCGAGTAGCACGAAGCAAAAGCAAGCATTGGCTGTATGAACTGATGTATGCACAACTGTCCTAGAAGATACATAATACTCCAGTAGTTATATAGTTAAATGTTTTCCTCTTTTTGTCCTCCATCTGATGTTACCAGAGGCTTTCGAAAGCTATCTTGCAGATGAAAGACCTCCTAAATTACAGCAACAGGAAAATAGCTGTAATGGTGCATATATTGTGCTTCCAAGATGAAAGTCACCTTCTTACACTGAGAAAGCCACAGATATTAAAATAGGCAACTACATAAACAAGGTTAAATAATGTAAAGTATGATTCTTCAGATGGGAAAGGAGTGAGCTGGATGAGAGTGGTTTCTGCCTTCCTGTTTATTTACATTTTTCTCGTTATTTTCAGGTAAGCAGTGAGCTTTAAAACACAACTCAAGTTTCAGCACACAATACAGAGCCATGCAAATTGCCACAGTAGGGCTGTCTAATCACAAAGCCTGCCTCTGATAACAGCTAACAATGGATGCCTCGCGCGAAGATACAGACGTTCATACAATGGACGGTGTTTATGGGAAAATTACTTTCTATCTCCAGGGAAGACTGGTTATTTTATTCTGTGCTTACGTGGGAACCTTAGTCTTCACTCCTCTTAACCTTACTTAATGTAACAGCGAATATTTTCCCATTACCCGTTCGAATCCTTCTGTCAATCCTGCGACTCATGCAGCCCATGCCCCCATTAGGCGAGGCTCTGACCCACCAACCCCTGTTCACAGCCCGCATTTTTTTCACCTCCCTGTTGCACAAGGAGAATTTCCAGCACGCATTCGTTCTCCCGTTTGACCTGAACGCAGGGTCTGCCTGGAGCAGCGTGGCCCCCAGCCCTCCCTCAGCTGGCAGCTGCAGAGGTAGCAGCCCGCACCCCAAAGGCAGAGGAGGAGAGAAGCGAGCACCTCTAAGGCTCAGCAGGGCTCTGCCCGTCAGCGCAGGGATAAGGATCCAGCGACAGGAGGAGCCCTCCTACCCCCAAATAAAAGCAAACACCAGCTGCTAATGCTGCATCCACAATACCGTGCTCCACAGACAACGTGACTTTATTCACAAGTATGATTTTTACAGAGGTAGAACAAAATACTTTGTATAATTTTTTTTTAAACTTCTTTTTGACTATATACAGAGAAAGAATATAATAGAGTGGCGAGAAAGAAAAGGTTGTAAATGAAACAATATTATGCCATCAAATACAGTACAAACAGCATGCAAGAACAGCTTCAAATGAAATCTTGCTGGTGTAACTTTATTTTATTTCTAATGTGGTAAATGAAGAGTAGTAAAGAGTCATGCTCTAATTGGATTGAGTATGCCACAGCTCTGCAATTTTGTTCCGATTGTTTTTTCTTTTACAATAAACCAACAGGACAGCTTTCTTCTCACTGTGGTGGGGGATGCCTCTGTAATGTCCAGGGTAATCTTAACAGAAAAATATAATAATCAAATCTACAAAGTGTACTCTCATTTAAAAAGCAAAACCATAGAAACTGTACAGTTTTAAAAAGCGGATTATTTCAACTGCTTCTTAAGAGAATCTTCTAAACAAAGAATAAAATATGCAGAATAAAAATTAGGAGAGCTATTGTTCTGTAACAAAGCTAATCAAACACTTGTTTTCTATTCCAATAAACATTTATTTATTTATTTTAATTAATGACTAGTCTGGAAATTATGATGTGGGCTGGATCTTATTAATGTTTCACTTGACAAATAATGCATGAACTCCTTACAGGTTCTATAGCTGTCATTCCCGTGGGGACGGATGGAGATTGGTTCTGCATGCATGCTAGAGACAGAAACAAGGTTTAGTCATTGGCACAGATTTTAAAAATATTCTTAAATGTTTTAAACCTCCTGTAGCATCTATAAAAATAATCTTGCTTGCTTTGCTACTGAATTAAGATTTGGATTGGGGATTTTCTGCTACAACTCATTCTTGACCCTTACAACTGCTGAAGACTTCCACTGGCTGTTATCCAGGCTGCTCCAGCTCCCACGAATGATGGTCAAAGGCAATGGTTACAGCTGCACCTGACATAGACGATGGTGACAGCAAAACCCACACTGCTTTCCCCATGGCAAGTACTGAAACTCAAGGATCTGGGCTTTGGGAACTAGGCTGTCCTGTTCTTCTGTCCCTCCAAATCCAGTGCTTCTTGTGGGAAGGGTGAAAGCAGGGGTGGGACTGTGCTGCTACACCTACATTGCATTGCATTGGTGGCAAACACTTCCCTGTCCCTCATGTCTGCACCCATGGGACAACGTAAGCACAGGGCTGCTGGCATCTGGCCACCTTCACTGCCACACTGGTGGGAAATGAGGCTTATCTCCCTATGCTTTGAACATTGAGGAAGGATACTGCAAGCACTGGGGTTAAACTGCCCTCTGGCAGCTTCCCCCTTCAGTATCATTTTAAAATTCAACCACCTGTATATTTGACTCGTCTTCATCAAGAACACTAGGATGGTCAATTAAACGTGTGCTGTTTTGGGATGCATTGGGTGTCAACCCTGCCTCAATGACTGTCCATCTACTAAAGATCAAGCATAACACTGACCAGGGAAGGATCCTGGGTCCCATCTGACACTTACCCCACTTAGCAGGGAACACGGGGCAGGTTTCAAATCCAGTGCAAGTGGCCTGGGGCAGCCTGAGTCACATCCTTTATCCAGCTGTAAGGATCACAAACCGCAGTCAAAAGGACAAATAAATACCTGTCCTGCATGAGAAATCTATCTCTGTGGTTTCACCAGGTTTGTATTTCCATGGTTTTGGCATCTCCCTGGGAAATGGACTGTCAGACCCTTCTGGATCACCCTGGTGCAACTGAACTCCATTTCACTCACAGGCCCTGCAACAAATGACTGCCCACATTTATAGATGGCATTTATGGAGAGGTGTGAACAATGCCTTACCTGCACAGATGAAATAATCTGTGTGGTAGCTTACAGTCAGCAGACTAAACCTGGCATCTCTTTGTGGAAGAACTGTGCAAAACGGCTGAATAAACAGGATTGTCCATGACATTCAGTAGGAGATATCCCAACCCTCTGAGTAAGACTGCATCCTTCTGCTGTGTAAATCAGCCCACAAGTATGAATAAAACAACACATCCCTGCCCCATTAGCACTGCGGAAGATTAATGCCCTCTAATTTACACTAAATAAACTCCAAAGCATGAAGACCAATATTTTAGTCTCATACTCAGCCGCTTGTGAAATAATAGAGATCACCCTGAAATTACTATTATGAAATGCAAATATTTGCAGAAGAACAATTAAAAAATATTCCTAAAGTGCAAATGAACAGCTTGTCAGCCATGTTTGTGGTGTGCAAAGGGATGGTCAGGAGGTGAACACTAATAAATCTCAGGGCTGAAATCTGTGCTGAAAACCCATTATCTTTTTGGCAGTAGGCAATGGTACAGCATCTTGCCCTGAGAAATCTTTTTACCCAAGAATCTGAGGGGTAGACTTAGGATGCCCTTATTTTCTTCCTTGGACTGTTTGTATGGATATAACTACCCGTATTTGCAGAAAGCTGCAGTACATGGCTCACAGTAAATCTACCTCAAACAGTTGCTGATACTGCTCAAACTGATCTCATCTGCCCCGATCTGCAATTGTGTGTTAGCTGAAGTAATAAAAGAAACCTGTTAAGCCTAAATTATCAAATGAAAAAGGCAATTTTCTCATTCATACTCCATTAGTTTTTTTAGTTATTGCTAGGAAAGCTCTAAAATGCTTAGGCCATAAAATAAACATGTGGCTTAATGTACAGCACATGTACTTAAGAGGATGATGGCATCTGCAGTAAATGCTCTGTACTGCCATAGTAATGGGATGCACAAATTAAGCAGCAGCACATACCAAGAAAAGCATGCAAAAATGTATGGCGAAAAGTAACAAGTCTTCTGCTTTAATTGCTAAAAAGAATAGATCACCAATATTCATGCCTACAACACAAAACTGCAACCTGGCTGATTTCAATAGATGCCCGTTACCTCTGTTCCAGCAAAACTCTCCAATATTGTATTTTTAACATTTCACTGATTAGAAGTTTATCAAACTTTCAGCCTCCCAAATCAGATTTAATTATGTATTTTCCAGGTATACAATGCCGTTAAGATTTTGGGGAAAAAAAACAACAACCAACACTAAAATGTTTAAATCACAGAGATGTAGGATAACGGATGAAAGTGTCCAAGTATTCAGTTCTGAAAATGAAATTCAGAGTCACATTTGAAAATGTCACTTTCAGGCCCTTCATTCTAACAAATCAGAGTACCTTCCATCAGTAGCTTCAATCCCTTTAGTAGAGTGCCACAACTAAAACTGTGGTTTCACATAAGCAAAATTGCATAACCAAGCCATTTACAGACATATTTTAGCATTACTTTGCAACAGCAGGTATTAGGATTTGAGAACAGAAAAATCTCTGAAACTTATGTGCTTCTTTATCCATTAATAGTTAAAATAGGCGTCATTCAGAAAAAGGAAAAGAGCAGAAAGGTGCAACAAATGTCTGGCTCAGACAAACTTGATGAGGATCATAAAATGCAGATTGGCAATTCTTCCTTCAGCCAGGCTTTTACAGAAATATATTTCCCCGGCTCGAAAGGATCGCACAGCAGAGCTTGAAAGAGCAAAATGCAAAAATATAAAGAGAAGAGTCCCGTTTTCTTCCTCAGTAATCCCAAAATGTCAGCAATCCGTGTCCATGCCAGCTCTGGACATGCACCTGGTGGGCCAGGTGCCTTGCTCATGGTTGGAGGTGCATCTATGCTTGCCTACTCCACGCTGTAGGCACTTGGCCAGAGCTGTGGTGCTCACTGGTCCCCAGGTTCCCATTAATGTGACCAACTTGTTCTCCCCAGTTGCAACAACCGTGCTGGCCTATTTACTTATAGCTCAGATTTTCTTCCATTCACAGCACAAAGCTGAAAAGTAAACAACAGTTAAGAAAATGTTTGCTTGCTAAAGCTCAGCATGAGAAGGTGCAAGCTCCCTTTGCCAGAGCCTAGACCTGTGTTTACTCACACCCTCTGCACAGTTCCATGCCTCCGCTTGGCATTGTAGAGGGACAATTGCCATCCCTTTCAGGCCCCTCACTCTCATTTGGTTTTTAAGGAGTTACGAAATACAACAGAACACTGTTTTCTGAGACTATATTAACTGCACTAGTTACCCACAATACTGAATATTCGCTATTAAGAACAGGAATGTGTGCTTTCCAAGTTTGACATTCAGGTCTTCGAGGATGAGAGAGGGATTAGGTGGACTGTTGTGTCACTTAATCCGAGGCTTTGATGTACTTTCTTAAAATTTGTTTTAAAACCCAAAAACAGAAGACACATTTTAACTGTTGAATTTTATCAGCTTAGGAGTTTCTAAGGACCCTATCACTATGTGGTTACAACAGAAAATACATAGTTAAGGTCAGGTCACGGTTTCCAAGAACATTCACAGGGACTGAGGATGAGGAAACGAGGGCTGGATCCTGCGGGAACCTCCGGGACACCGAGCTGCTCACTGAGGAAGTGCCTTGAGTATTGCATTCACTTCCTCTGCAACTGCTGTCAAAGCAAATTCGAACTGCTCCTGCGGAGAGAGCAAAGGCATATCATAGAATCACAGAATATCCCGAGTTGGAAGGGACCACAAGGATCCTTGAGTCCAACCCCGGCTGCACACAGCAGCACCCAAACCCAGCCCTGTTCTCAGAGCAGTGTCCCAGTGCTCCATGAGCTCCAGCTTTGGGGCCGTGCCCGCTGCCCTGGGCAGCCCGTTCCATGCCCACCGCCCTCTGCGGCACAGCCTTTCCCTCATCCCCAGCTGCCCTTCCCCTGACAGCTCCATGATATTCCCTCAGGCCCTGCCGTTGCCCCTGTGAGGAGCTGCAGTCGCCAGGATGCCTCCCCTCAGCCTGCTCTGCTCTGTGCCCAGCAAACCCAGGAGCCTCAGTGCTCCTCACACCCTTGGCCTCCAGACCCTTCACCATCTCTGTGTCCCTCTTTTGGACACTGTAATGGTTTGATTAGTTTCTTATAACGTGGTGCCCACCCAGCGCTGGAGGTGAGGCTGCACAGCACAGAGCAGAGCAGGAATTCCCTCCCCAGCTGCCCCCAGGGTACGGTTGGCCCTTTGGCTGCAGGGCACACTGCTGGCTCAGACCCAACCTGCCCACAGCCACAACCCCTTGATCCCTTCTCCAGGGCTGCTCTCTCATCCCCCAGTCTGTACACAGAGCCAGGGTTGCCCCAACTCTTTTACAAATTGCTCTTTTAAAAATTCATGTGGCTGGTGATTGCCCAGCTCTCCTATTAGTTAAGAGCAGTCTGCAAAGCCTTTCTGATCCTGGATAAACAACCAAAAAACTTTCCGACGTCCTGGAGCACGGCTCTGCAGCTGAGCATCCTCAGGACATTGTTGAAAACAGGAATATGCAGGATGAACTGCATGTTGCAACAGCAAGGAATAAAATGCTTGGGGATTATTGATGCCACATAACACGTTTGACAGCATCCTGAAACTAGAGTCATTTTAATGGAGAAAAATGTTGGTAGCAGAAACTAAGCAAGTGGGACACAATGATGCATTGCAATTGCTTGGCCAGAAACATTTGGGAGTAGTTGATCATCAGCCATTTCTTCCTGACACGAAGATAGAAACTCATTAACAACACTGAGATATGAAGTAGGCGATACACTGCAAAAGAGAAACTTTGGCTCCTCTCAGGTGTTTCTAGTTGAAATTAGCTAAATGTATACTTCTTCACATTATGCCTACTAAACAGAGAAGTGCCTGCTTTTTGCTTTACCTCTTATTAGTCTTTTCCAGCTTCCTTTTTCAACTGCTCTTCGGTACCCACAAATTACCTAGCAATATTTGGTCCACTTTATTCACATTTAGGAAATACTCAGGAAGGTTTATGCTACTAATTTACCATAAGCATGAAATGAAAATCAGTAACAGATTTCTGTGCTGAGGTAGGGGAGGTGTGAAGGACACAGGCAGGAATAGCCACTACACCTATCTGCAACCCTAACGTGCTCCTAAACTGTCTGGTTCTAAAGAAGGACAAGGGAGCTTTGCTTCCTCAAGGTTAGCAGGTGTTGTACTTTCTAGAGTGAGTAATCTTTCTCAGAAATTTAGCTTAATGAAATATCTGACAGGATGATTTTCTGTCTGCTTCTTTTCAGATGGAAAAAGAAATGTGTGTGTTTCACTTAGAGAATAAGCAAACCAAGGACAGCAGTCAAGGACTGTGCAGAAGCGTTTGGATTTTCTAGAAATATTCCAGTGGTTTACACCAACTGGGGTTAAGAGCTTTGGAGGAAGTGACTTTAAGAACCGAAGTCTGAGATGAACCCTGCCAGGATGCCATCTGTGCCTCCAGTCAGAACAGGGGTGTGCAGCAGGAGCTGCCCAGGGCTGTGTGGGATGGGTGCAGCAGTGGCAAATGGCTGCTGAACGCAGCCAGCCCTGAAGGCGGTTACTGGCCCGACAGCACTCACTTTCAACACTGGAAGTCTGCAGGAAGGATGAAAGGACAAACTATCGGTGAGCGACTCGTAATGCAGGAAGACAACTGACTTTTAACTCCTGCACTTCAGTGTCAGTCTCGTTCACCTTGTCTCAACCCTCTGCATCCAGCTCCTGAGTGCAGATGCCTCAGAGGGCAGCCATAGTGGGCACAGCTACCAAGCAGAAAAAGAAGACTGAAACTCAGAATAATTTATCAGGGAAATCAATGTACAAGAATTCTGCCCTCTGTTTGGTGCTGTCAAAATGGCATTCTTGCACATTTGCTGGACTGCATCCATTGTTTTTTAATCACACATCAACTCACCCTGAAGATTAGAACTCACCCTCATTAGGCATAGAAAACAGTCTGTGGGTCTGCCTGTGCCTGCCTCGAGGTCTCTGCAATTAAAGCAGATGAGGAAATGCTGGTGGCCACCCAAGAGCAGCCGCTATTTTTTGAGCATAGCACAATGAACGTGTGAGCATAGCTGGAGGACAGAGAAGGCGTTCACCCAGCCGCACCACGTCAGAACCAAGATGGGGAGCACAGCAGTAGTAGGGGAGCTGATCCAAGCACTGCCAGGCTGCAGGGTGATGCAGCCAAGTGTCCACATGGTCAAATGCCTCTTCTGAGAGGTTGGTGACTGTCCAGAAGGAGGGAAGCTGCTATCACCTGTGTAATGAGGTACCTCATGTACCCTTCATTTTACCATAAAGAAAAACTTGTAAGATCAGGGATTACAATATTTTAATATTAGTCCCATTGCTGAAAATAACTGAATTCACTGAGCAAATCAGCCCTGAAGTGCCTTTGCCTCTCACAGAGGGGTGGCTCACACAAGAGCATGGGGCATCGCTGCACAGGCCATGGAGAAGGCAGCTCTCACCTTAGGACCCTGAATTGAGCAACACCAACTTCCACACTTAGATATGCATTTTGGAGAGAACTTCAGTGGAGATTGCCAGCTTCCATCAGGTGTGACCCTAAATTAGCGAGGCAAAACAACTCATAAAGCATCTTTACACCAGAGCTCCAAATCGACTGCGAAATGTTGCCATAAAGGAGACAGAAAATAAATGTTTGATCACGAGATGTTTGAGAACTGGGTGTTCTGGGGATGCTGCATCTGAGCTCTTCTCCCTCCTTCTTTCTGCAAAACACATGCAGTGCAGCTCCAATTGAGGTGTACTACCACTCTCCAAAGGAAAGCCTTCACATCCCTTCCATACCTACACACAAGGACAACCAAAGATAAAAGCAACTGCAACAATTTTAACGGAGCTCAGTCTGACATTCTCTAGAGCTCATTCACATGTGCTACTCACGTGGACAGGACTGACTTAGACACCTAGGCTTTGCCTAGAAAATCAAGCTGGGCAGGCATGTTGTGTTGTCAGCCCACTTATAATGCAGAGGTGACATGAACATATTTAGAAATAGTAAGTATAGAAATACATAACAATATGCCAAATTTCTTTAAGACCTTAAATAAAAATTCTCTAGAAAACAAAGTAGGTGCATGCAGTATGCAGCATATATGTATAATACGCATCATAGTAGAGACTGCTAGTGGAAGGACACAGGAAAAAGGAGAAATATTTTTCTCATGACAGAAAACACGCTTTTCACACATTACTTTTTCCTCTCACTTGTGGCATATCAATTCTACTTTATGATTCCCCTGCAAAATAAGTAACAAAACCACAAACCCACTATTATGCTTCTCAGAAATGCAGAATGTCGTTATGATAATTTCATTACCGCTTATTATATACAGTGCTTTTGAATTAAAGATCCTTTCCAGAAGACAAAATGTTGCAAACAAATCTTTCGCATGCTTATTAAAAATGTGGAGCGCTGCCTGCTGGAAACACAATCACACTGCTAAAGGAAGTCGGTGTTTATTTTGCCCAAGGATATTCTCTAACTGGCATTTCTAACCTGACTTTTAATCCATTGTTTTAAATTACTCCAGGAGTCTAATATTCCTCATTTGTATTCAGTTGGGAAAGCACAGGGGTTTGTTTAAATCCCTCAGAAAAATTCTCTGGGGACACTGCACTGCTAGCATGCAACCAGATATTTATAATTTGCAAGACATTAGCTTGAATAAGTGATTTGGGTGGTTTTGAGAACATAAGAATGATGGAAGAAGGAGCAAGAGGTGAGATAAGCCACATCCTGGGAAAATTTCTCATCCTGAAAACACTGGATACATTTGCTTTTCTGCAGCTCTTCCAGAGGGATGTTTGGAGGGGAGAAATATCTCCAGTGAGCTTCTCAGGGGACTCAGGTAACTATTTTTGAGCTAACTAAGAGAAATTATCCACATCATCTCATTCTTTGCTTCTGGAGCTGTTTCTGTTTTTTCTTTTGTTAAAGGCAATAAGCTGTAATTTCTCAGAAAAGAGAGACAAACCAGAATCAGAGCTCCATATTTCTACAGAACTGCCATAAACTGCCATACATTGGGTGCGTTTACAGAGTTTGCTCAGGACTTGCATTTTCCCTTGGAATACATATGTGAGACACTGGATGCTGTGTGCTATAGGCCTTTTTTCCTCCAGTCAGATTAATCAGAGCAGAAGAAAGATGTGTACAATTTTATGTCTTACTTGCTGATATGGGTTAGTTAGCCTTGGCTGGCTCATCTTAATTTTTCATCTACTTACTTACTGGGTAAATAATACCTAATCTGCACCCAGTCACCCCCGCTCCCTGTTTTCCAGTATCACTTCTAATATTAAGTGAGAAGATATAGCATGATTAAAAACAGATTCAGGAAAAGTTATGAACCAATGATTCCTGAAAAACAGATTTATTTCACCTTTGTCCCTTAGCAACTTCAACTCCCTAAATGTTACAACGTTCCTATAGGTTCCCCCAGACCACTTTGCTCCAGTTATTCAGTTTGGGGTTATAACTCTCATTCAAGGTTTTACAATGTCACATTCAGATTTGTTTGGTCTCCATGTAATGAACAGTTTTCTTTATGGTCATGTGTGCATCTTTAACTTGCAGCAAATACCCCCTAATATCATTCCATATAAACTGTAACAATAAAAAAGCTTCATTCCTAATGGAACGAACAGCAGTCACACTGCCAGCTATCCTTAAAAGTTACGTATTACAGCGAACTTTGAGGCTGTTACAACTGATGGTAATTAAAGAGTAAGGTATTCACCACACCATGGGGTACAAATGCAGTCACAATGCTTCATCCATAAAGGACATGGCTTTAGACACGCTGTAAGGTCTTCCCCTCAAAGATGCTAAAAATGACTTGACTTCCTTTAAAACTATATTCCCTTTAATTCAAAGCTTTACTTTCAGAAAAAAAAAAATCAAATCCAATAGTCGCATTCCCTTTAATGAGTTGAAGGCTTTTAGAAAATATTAGATGCACAGTTAAGCACACTTACTCTAAAAAAATAATCCATATTTTAGAATGAAAACAATGTCATTTTTTCACATGCACATTTTCTTTAGTAAACTGTAGACTATCTTGATTGCCGTTCATATATGGCAATCAAGATAGATGTTGGAGACGCTGCAAGAGAGAGAAGTAAACACCAAAGAAAGTAGCCTAGATAAATCTTCAGCATAAATAAACCTCAGTTGGTAGGGAGCCAAACAGTAATCAGCAAGCGACGTGCATTAAATTAGGTCATACCCTCTCTCTTCTGTCATGAAAACAACTACTGTGAAAGACCTTTAATGTATTTAAAACCCCAGTGGATTTATTGACAGTACCTTCGTCTGGACCATGCCTGGTCTCTGGTCCCTCAAGTGCTCCAGGGTAGCAGCAATATCAATCTCTTTAGCACCTGCAACAAACCACAAATTGGGCTGAGTTCAGAGCACAAGATAATCCATGCTGCATCTGTCAATCTCTTGCTATCGGGCTCCCTTTGGGCTAACAGTACAATTGAAAATTATTACATCCATCTCTCAGCAGACTTGGCAGGCAGCTGCAATTTTTGTGTTCATATAGAAAAAGAAGAGGTTGGGGCAGCTTTTATTAACATTAATTCAAGAACAGCTAGAGAAAAACAAATTCTTACAAATGCCTTTGTACCTAGAGCAGAATTTATTTAGCAGAACCTAAGGGTCCACTGTGGCCGTGCCATTGAGTGCCCTTTGTCACTTCTAGGATTATGCATGGAACGAAGGGCCCAACCCACACAAATATTGATGTTGTTAAAACAAGGTTCAGTTGAACTTCTGCCACCTGCCACTGAGATCCTGCTGTTTTCCTCCTGAATTTCATATTCAGTTTGAGATTCTTCTCGATCGTGTCATTTTCCTTCAGTGCCTAAGCAGATATGTGTTACTGGAGAAAAAATCAAAACCTTGCTTCCTCCCGTTAGTCCCTGCATGAACTCCAAGAGAAGAAGTAGGGCTGGAAACCCTTCCTGCTGAGTTCAGCGATGGAATTTGGTCTCACATCTGTCCCGTCTGCATCTTGCCAGAACAACACACAGCACCAAAGCACTGGGCAAACGGGCACCATGAGCACAGCAGGACTGTCCCACTCCCACTCCACATCCCCCACTGCCCCATACATTTGTCACTTTCTAAGAGGATGATCAGTTTGCAAGTGCCTCCATGAAAATATCAGCTGCATCAGAACTGGAATGAATTCATTCAGTAAATGTAACAGTGCCAACTCAGATATTTTTGTTTACTGCTATGAGTTGGGGCATTGTACGTTTCTCCTATCACTCCCCTCCATACTGTATGGGAATTTTCAGGGAACAGCATTAGACAAAATAGTAAGTTTTATTAAAAAGTAAACAAAAAAAACCAACACGCATGCTTAAAAGGAACAGAACAATACATATTAACACATGCTTTTAGGTCTGGTAACAGTGACAGTAGCTGTGATAATGTCTTTGATCTGCTGTAGGTCTTACAACTGCATTTTATCTGGAAGCCATCAGAAAAGGTACAATCTTTGTGAAGGCACAGCACAGGAGCTCATTTCGGTGTTTGGTCCCATGCAAGCACAAATTAGTGGGAATTTCCTGTTCCCCCACTGCCTTCCATGGGAGCGGGGCTATGTAAGTATCTCATGTGCTTTACAGCCTTACTTGTGGCCTCATTACATTCCCAGGATTAAAATATCCTACTAGCACCTTGGCTTGACATTAGAGGAATTCTCTTTCTCAGAAATTAAGATATGAAGAAAATTTAACATGCTGACATGCACAGATGAGGTTAACCACGGTCCTAGTTAGCATCCCTGCAAGGATGAACCCCACTGAGCTGGTGAGCCCATGTGTCCCACGGGCTTCCTTGTGGCTGCAGATGCGTGTGAGCCCTCCCCAGAGAGAGATGCTCTTCATCTGAAGCTACTCTAGCCTCAGGACAACACAGTAACATATTAGGTGCTGGGAAAAGGTTTCTGACAAGACCTAATAACACTCCTTAATGGCCAGATGGGCTTCTGAGCCTACCTTTGAAAGGGTTAATTCCTCCATTGCTGTGATGCAGATTGCAGGCATTTACTGGTGAACCGATGCTTGCTTTTTTATCATCATTAACAGAATGACATGCCTAATAGTATGAACAATGCCTGACAATAAAACCCTGATTTAGCAAAACACTAAAGCATATGCTTGCACTGGAACATAAGAATAGTCCTGGTGAGCCAGGATGCTTAATGGGAGGCTAGCTTTGGAGGGTTTTGCCAACAAAAGTCCCCGCATCAACATTTTTCACTCATCAGTACCCCTGAGCCCACGGGTTGGGATCAGCACAGCACCCACAAACACTTCTGATGGCCTCAGTCAAAAGTAACAGAAAAGTAAAGTGAGGAAAGCACGATTTTGTCCAAGGCACGTGTCCATCTTAGAGACCAAGGGTGGACAGGCAAAGGCAAACAACAGGCACAGATCCATTTCTACCCCTTTCTCACACGCCTCTGATACAATGGTGAAAGGAACTACCTAAGTGCCTGGAGAGGCAAAATTTCATGCTACAAAGACGGGCACCTGTTTTGAAAGAAAAATATCCTGGAACAGAAAATTCATGAGAAAAAGGATGAAATTAATGGCACTGAATAAAGCCAGCAGGATTTTTTTTTCTCTCCACATGAACAGACCTCTCCCACATCCACCAGTACATGTTCTCCATCTATTGCCTTATTATGCCTAAATCAACAGAGTTTGAATATAAATTGCTAGACACAGAAATGTGCCAAAAAGGGAAGATTTTCCATCTTTTCTCCCCGCCAATATTTATTTGTTTAACAATACTACTGGCTTCCGAAAATAAAAGGGGAGATAAAAGAGGGAGCATTTAAAGAATGAAGAACTGCCATTTCACTTCTGGCTGTATTTCATCCTGTAGGGAATACATTTGGGTTCTGTTTGAGATAGGTTCCTTTTTCATACAGGGTTTCATCACGTGTTTTTAATGAATGGGAGAATGTAACTCAGAGTGAGAACTAATGCTGTACCAGCAGTGATGCAAAAAAACAACCACGCAATCCCTCTGCAGCTCAGTGAGCTGAGCAAATACCTCCTAAAGCATTTCCACACCAACACAACGCAGATTTTAAACTTCAGCAATGAACCATCATCCTTCTAAAGACTTTAAGTATGCACAGTAAGTGCACAACAGTCCACATCAGAAACAACTGCGTACACTGAGAGAGCACAAGAGAAGGCGCGAGCTGAATTATACTTTGCCCCCAAGGAGAAAAGCAGTTGCTGAAGTTTAGGGTCACATCCTTTCCAGCCCTTTCTCTCCCCGCAGGCAGCAGAGCAGGAAGCATGCTGGCACTTAACAGCTGGTGCTCCTGATTAGCAGCCCTCAAGGGGTTAAAGTGTTTGCCCTCAAACAGTCATATAAATGGAGGATCCAGCGTGTCAGGAGAGCATGGGTAAAAGTGGAATCCCCAGCTCCTCGTGCAACAACTAATGAGCTAGCCATTGCTGCTGCAGTAGGCTTCACGACACGACCAGCAGCAGCTCAAAATACTTAAAATTATTACTAATTTCCTAATGTTAATTTCATTATTGTAAAAATGAAATCTTCCCCTCCTTGTCTCCTCCCTCTATCCTGACAGAGGACCCATCCTGAAAGGCACAAGACACAAGAAAGACACTTGATGAAGGATGCTCCCTTCCACTCTGCTGCAGCATTGCAATCACTGTGACGGTATGGGAATGGGACGAAGTTTGCAAAGAGGACAAATGTGTTTTTATACATTAGCTGGGAAGAAATAATGCCTATAATGAAAAAGTGGTTTTCAGGCTCAACAAAGCACAGAGATCGTGCACCTGAAAACATACTGGCATTTTTTCAGTTATAATAACAATCAGCATTTGTTACATTAGTTCAAAATTCTGCCTTAATTAAAGCAAGTTTCTAGATTTCATTTTTGTGTAATAAGCTTGAACATACTTGCACTGAAAGCAAAGGCAAAAGTCCTATTATTTTATTCATTACTAATGAAAAGTGCAGCACACATTCTGTGAGACTGAAAGAATTTTATATTAAAGCACAGTATTAAAAGGAATTTTTTAGAATCTAGATTCTCTGAATCTTCTGTATATATAAATAAAATGATCCTTAAATACTTCATCAAAGTAATTATTTGCGGGGGGTTTCTTTTTAAATTACCAAAGCTGAAGAGTTTTCTTTGTGCATGTTTCACAAATACATATCACTCATGAATATTACATTAAAAAGGATTTTTCTAGCTGGGAAAAACTTTCAGATCTACAGGCATACATCCAACAGATGTTATATCCAACATAGATGTTATATCCAACAGATAGGATTATAACTCTGCAGAACAGCTATAAATTCATTACTGCTAGTCCTAAAGGACAGCCTGGTCATTAGGGTGCTATGTTTAGGCTCATTTGACTTCTCTTCCAGCCTGAGATTCCGCCTTCCTGCACTGCTTCAGTTAAATCATTAAATTCACCCTACGTTTCACACCAACATTTATAAAGGAAACCATTTTTCTTCCTACCTTGTAAGTTATTATGAAGGCAAATCTATTTGGATAGTAAGGAGGTGAGGACTTAGATAAATACTCTGTTTTCTTCTTTTAATTCAACACCCTTTACACCTCCCTCGGCCCTGCTTCTGTTCTTCCTGATCACAAAATGATCCCAAAACTGAGTATATGATGCAGGAGTCACGGTGAGAGTTGTAAATATGGGATTATTAGCACTGCTACCATTTCTCCGTAAGGAGACGATGATGATCTGTGTGGGAGTAAGAATTTATCCCACAGAAAAATAACAGAGCACTAAGGGGAACACTGAAATGAGTTGTCAAACACCTTTATTTTTGCAGCAGTAAATATTCAATAGTCAGACATTACCTTCTGAATGCATCTTTTTATACGTATTATGTTCTATAGATTTTGAATTAGACCTTAAAGGGCAAAGAGACTTGTTAGGGCAGATTAAAAACGGGCTTGTTGAAATTTTGAAGGAAGATGCCATTCTTTCCACTGATGTTGCTAGAAGCTGAAAAAGACCCAATTAATAATTGCAAGAGGCTGCTGATTGGCAGCTCTTAGCCTCAGAGTCACTCAGTTGGAAGACTCAAGCCTAACATTGTGAACTAGTAAGAATGCAAGTGAGAAAAAAAATAAGGGCAAAAATATAGTGTCGGCACGGACAATCAGCTGTCTCATCACAGCAGGTCTGCATTTAGGAAGAATACAAACATTTTTCACGTTTGGGTGATGACTGTGTGACTCACACCTACATGAGACGCCTCACGGCCAGACCAACACCGCGCACAGCAGTTCATGCTGCCTTTCCTCTCACTCCACGTGAGTATTCTCACAAACGGG